AAAAAGTACTGAACTTATTCCTGGTAATTCAAAATTAACTTTATTATTTGTACAACTACACCTGCAATCCAAAAAAGGAATTTACCATTTTATATTGCCAATATTTGCTCTCATACTGGGTTGCCTGGGACATTAGCAAAAGAAAATAAATTGATTAACCAATTACTGATAGGAAATGTATTGGAAATTTTAGAATTTCAGAAGAAACATCATATTAATAGTAGGGACTTAAGGAAATTTTTTTTCTAATACTTGGCAACAAAGTAAGGAAATTATAAAGAACTGTCTTGCTTGTTCTTTGTATAATCAAGTTTCTCCACCTGGAGGAACTATTCCTAAACGTAAATAAAGAAATGAAATTTGACAAATAGATATATTTTGTTTAGCAGAATTTGGAAAATTAAAATATATTCATTATATAATTGATATATACTCTGGATTACAATGATCATCTGCCTTAAGCTCTGAAAAAGGTTGATTTTATAATTACACATTTATTCAAAACAATTGGTATAATTGGCATACTGATAAAAGTTAAAACTGATAATGCCTCATCTTATGTTTCCAATGAAATGTAGCAATTTTGGGGGGCATTACTAATTTAAAAAATTTTAAAAAGCTAATGAAACAGGGACAACAACTGCAAAAAAACATTGGATTGTGGAAAAACCTGCTAATTTGAGTCAGCCCATTTATTATAAGTGTTTTCACATCAAAATAGAAACCAGCAAAAGTGTTAAGGCAGGGCTAAGAGCATGCTTATGTTTTCATTGGAGATAAAAGATTGTGGACCCCATCAAAACTGATAAAAAAAACATCTGCCATGAGCAAGAGGAGTCTCTTGGATTCCTTGGCTGAGATGCCTCTGGGAAATAAAAAATGCAGAAGGCCTTTACAGCAGACAGCTAATTCTCCCACCTGAGGACAGTTTAAAAACTGGTGTGAAAAAGGAGGTGATAACTCAAATGACTCAGAGACCTCTAAATGCTACAACTTTGTTCCTTGCTATGCTGTCTGTGGTAACTACACAAGTAATGGGGACTGGTCAACTTACTGGACCTTTACCCCTAATCCTCCAATTAACTTACACAAAAGTTGGGGAGTTATGAATATTCCTATGATGGTTAATGAATCTTCTTGGCTACCTGGTCCTTATGACAACCGAGGTCCTGCTCAGCCAATGGAGGAGGGTAAAGAGATTAAAAATTATACTGTAGGAGTACAAGGAGTTCCTATTTGTATGAGAAATGGAATTCAATGTCTAAATATAATCTTTCAAGTGTAGCTATCTATAATCAATACTACCCAAGATTATCATAATAAGTTTTATATGCTCCATGCATTTGATTTTAAAGGACAGAAGGTTAATGCCACTACTTCCATAAATCTACTCTTCTGTGAGATGAGGGTTACCACCATGGAATCTGACTGGGTGCATTGGCAAAAATGTGAGAGAAATCTTGAGTGCTAATC